GCAATAATTTAGTTATTAATATTAGACCTTGCGATAATTTAATTAATTTAATTAGCCAAAGCACAATCAGGAATTGACAAAAGATTCCTGCATCTAAGACATTGCTCAAAGTGAAGTCGACTCAAGGACTGAGCTTTTTAACAACTTTATATTTAATGATTTGTTAGTCTATACATAAATCTGCATTATTTAGGTTTATTATGGTGGTAATGTGAAGAAGGTGTGATGATAGGAAGTGTGACGGGCTGTGTGAAACTTAGAATCAATACAAGACCTATAATTGTAAATAGAATTTTCTAAATATGTAAATACTTATTCTTTTATAATCGAAAATCATAACCGAATTAGTATAATCATGCCCAGACCCTGTAATAGTCTTTAGTGTTGAAACCACAGATCACTGAAACTAAGTAGTGATAGTGTTAGGGAGCGAAACTACTAGTTTCAAAGATTAAAAAGATCGATTATCGTACCTTCTAATAGTTCGAAAGATATAAAAGCAGAGCCTTCGAGCCTTTAATAAAGTTGTTAGTTTTCAATGTCATAAATGGTTGAATAGAAGAATCGATTTCTCAAGTGTTTGAATGATTTTATTATTAGAATCTTATTTACTTAATAAAAAACTACTTAATAACCGTTATATTGAAAAATCCGTTAAATTTCTTTTATTATTTCAAAGTATCGTCATAATTTGTTATCGCTATATTAATTACATCAGTTATGTCATTAAATTAATCTGAATAATTAAATTTATTACATAAGAGTAACTATCACTTAAATTGATCTATAACCCAATCCCACATAAATTAGTTAACCGATCCTGATTAAACTATCGATACATGTGAACAAGCCACCCTACCGATAGTACTATATTACTTTATTCAAGATATCTTTTATATTTCCATTCATTATTGGAGTTAAATTGGATGAAATATTGCTACAGCTCTCCCAAACAATAGTAACAGTAGAAACAAAAAAAGCATCACATACTGTATATATTTTTTAAGAGGTTTATGTCTATATTGTACATACAAAAAATAACTACCCAAGTAGGGTAGTTACAATATAACTGTTTTATATATATCGACATGCCATTATGATATTAATGTTAATTTTTTTTCGCAGGAAATAGTGCCTATTGCTGCATTTTATTTAATATTATTAGTTTCAATAATGGCATATTATTGTAGGGAGAATAAGTTCAAAATTGACCAATTGTCTGAATACTGATTATGCATTGAGTGAGACAAAAATTTTTGAGAATTTTGTGGTTCTTAATTCTAATACGTATTACAAATACAGATATGGGGTCAGTGTTTCAGCCTAAACCAAAATTTTCGGCTAGGAGAAACTTCTGAACTTAAGTGAAACTTCCGAAACCAAGCGAAATTTTCTGAAACTGGGCAAAACTGAACTTCTGAAACTAATATAGAGGAATTGATTACTGTTAAACCTATTGTTAAAGTAGACTGTTTTTAAATAAATTTTTGTAAAGAAAAAACTTTACTGCATGATTAGAGATAAAAAAAGTTAACTAGTAGCGGAATAATAAACTCTTATATTGAAGATATCCTTAAGGAATTAATATAAAGAATTAATATAATAGAATATTGCAGTTAAATCATTAGATAAATATACCTTCGCTAAAAAAGAATATGCATCTTTGAGATGAGCTGTTTATTAAAATGTTTTGATATATAGTTTTTGTTTGTTTTTTCCTCGATATTTAATAATTTTCTGTCCTGCAGAGGTTAAGAAATTGCAAACATTATTAAATTTCCTGTATGAGCAGGAAATTTTTAAGAGTTTGGCCTAAAGTGTCCTTAGAATTTACGAAATTATTGTTTTATTCAAGATTCCATTATTTGTTAAGAAATGTTTAAAATTTTTGCTGGTTATTTTTTCTTTATATAGTGTTTTGAAGAAATAAATTTGATCGTGAAAAAAATGTCTGTACAATCTTATGATTCATTACAATCTCAAGATATCTCAAATACAAGCTTATCTACTGTAAATACTTCTCGTCCAAGAAAAAAAAGATGTCGTCTGCTAAAAGTATAGTTTGACGTAGTTATGTTCATCATTTTTTTAAAGAAGGAACTATACCAAAGAGCATTCAATGTAAAGTCTGTATAGTGAACTCAGAAGAAGCTCATGATTATATTCCACATGGCAGTACTACTGTTAACATTAAGAGTTTTACATATTTTTGATCATAACTTTTGATGTACCGAACCAATTTGGATGAAACAACCACCA